CCTCCTCCTCCTCCTCCTCCTCCTCCTCTTTCTCCTCCTCCTCCTCCTCCTCCTCCTCCTCCTCCTCCTCCTCCTCCTCCTCCTCCCTCTCAATCTATGCTCCCTCCCCCTTTTCTTCTTCCAGCCCGTTTTCACGCCCTGGCCCACAGACGCGTGCGGCCGACGACGACCACTCCCCAGTTCCCCTCAGGGGCAACGGGTGGGGGGATGCATCGACCCCCAATCGCGCATGATAGCCCACCCCTCTCAGGGACGTGCGGACTTGCTATCGGGGGCCCACCGCCGATCTACCAGCGGTGTATCGCTGATTCTGTGTCGACGTTTCCCCCACTGAGCTGGTTCCCCCCTATCGTTGCCCCTCAACTCGAGGGCTTCCCCGCGCAATGATTCGCGCGGACCCCCCGCAGCACAAGAGCCCGCCAGACTCGGACGGCTCGAAGGAGCCGGCCGAGCCCGCCGGCCGCGGCAGCTGCGCGAGCCGCCGCCGCCGCCGTCGTCATCGCCGCCGCCGTCGTCGCCGCCGTCGCCGCCGTCGCCGTCGTCGTCGTCGTCGTCGTCGTCGTCGTCGTCGTCGTCGTCGTCGTCGTCGTCGTCGCTGTCGTTGGCCGTCGTCGTCGTCGTCGCCGTCGCCGTCGTCGTCGTCGTCGTCGTCGTCGTCGTCGTCGTCGTCGTCGTCGTCGTCGTCGTCGTCGTCGTCGTCGTCGTCGTCGTCGTCTGTGTCGGCGCCACCGCCGCCGCTGCCGCCGCCGAGCGGCTGCCGCGAGGAGCGCGCCGAGGCTGCGCCGGGGCTCCCGGCCGCAGCGGGCGGGCCGCGGCGTTCTTCTCGCGGCGGCAGCGCGGGCGAGGGTCCGGGCGGCGGCCGCGTGGCTGCCCTGGGGCTCGCCGACAGCCGCCACGCCTGGTGCGACGGCCACCGCGGCGCCGCCCCAGAGATCTGGGCGCTGCAGTTTTGTCACGCCGGGCGATGTTTGGTGGCGACATCCAGACCCCACCCTTGCCGATCAATGAGTTAGGCAACTCGATGGGCGGCAGGGGCAGTTTTCGGAATGCGTCAGACACGTGGCGAGGTCCGAAACCTACCCCTGCCTCCCATGGATTCGGTTCAATGTATGGTTGGTGGGGGAAGGGTTCGGATGTCGCCACCTAGATTTCGCCCGAGGTTGGGCCCGGGGGCCCTTGGTCTAGGCCTTCTGGGTGGGGTCCGAGTAGAGGGGGTCGTAGGGTCGCGCCGCATCGCCGATGCATCGGCGACGCGGCTGGACGTGGGGCCCGATTTGCTTCACGTCGACGTCGCCGATGCATCGTCGACGTCGACGATGCATCGCCAGTGCATCACCGATGCATCGCCGATGTTGGGCCCCGAGGCCCTCGGATCGATCCAGCTCGGGCAAGTGGCGCAGAAGAGTGGGGTCGGGGGCTCTGGTCGTGCTGAAGGTGCATATTTTCGTTGTTGCGACGCCGGATCTCAGGGGCCTGCTCGGAGGCCGCGAGGTGCGGGAGCGGCGCGCCGACGGGCGGGGCGGCCGAGATCGCCAGCGGCGGCGAGGGCGAGGACCCAGGAGACGGCCGAGAGGCTGCCGCGGACTTCGTCGTTGGCCATCGCTGCCCCGACGGCCTGTGCGGCGGCGATCGCGCCACTGTCAGTGCCGAGATCATGAAGCGCGTGGAGCCTTTCTGGGAGCCCACCGAGGAGAGTGGTGTTGTGTGGAGGCACGGCGGCCGTCCTTTCGTCATAGAGGATGAGGAGGACAGCTTGGTGAGGCAGCAGTGCCAAGAACTCAACGCCCGTTACGCGGTAGGTGTTGACGTCACGATGACCTCCTTGCCGAGCCTCACGATGAGCTCTTTGCCGTGCCTTGAAGAGTCATCGCAGATTGAGCCGAGCCTCACGATGATCTCCTTGCCGTGCCTCGAAGAGTCTTCGCCGATTGACGCAGCGGAGCATGAGGATCTCCTGTTGTCGCAGAGCGTGCCCGTGGAGCCCTCTTCGTCGATTTGCGTGTCGGTGCAGCACTGCCCGACGGACACCGAGCGCGTGTGCTCCTCGGGGACCATGTTGGAGGCCTTGTGTAGCCGCGACGCCGGGATCGCCCAGATGCAGGTTGGGCCGCTGGCGCTGTCTTGCGCGAAGGGGTCGGAGCCGGCGACGGAAGAGGGATCGCGGCGCCCATCGGGCCCAACATGTTCGCAAATTTGCTTCTTGCTGGACACCAGCTTTGACATCGAGAACTCATCCAGCCTGGCCACACCCTGCTGCGGGCACTGTGGTCAGATCTCCACGGCGGTGTCGACGAGGGAGCCGTCGCCGCGCGAGTTCGGCTGGGCAGTCGAGGACGCCGCATCTCCCGCCGAGGGTCCGCGCGACTCAGTCGACCCGCTCGAGGTGGCCATGATGGAGTGGCGCCAGCGGCGTGAGCAGCGGCGCGAGCAGCGGCATACCTCTGCGAAAGCGAAGCGCACTTACGGCGTGTGGCTTCGCGAGCGATCAGACTGACCAGACGACCCGTTTCTGTGCGAGTAGTTAATCCTCAGGGGCAGCCATAGGGGGGATAGGCACAGGCGGGGATGTATCGAACCCCAGTCGCCCATTAATCGCCGATAGGGGCCCGATAGTTCTATCCTGCTCAGGATCGTGCGGTTTCGCTATCGGAGGGCTATCGCCGATCTATCGACGATGTATCGCCGATTCCAGGTCGATTCACCCCCCTATTGCAGTCTCCCCTATCGTTGCCCGTCAAATCCACGCCAGGCGGCTGGCTGGAAGACAATTTGATGCACACGGCCACGGCATTGCCCCTTACCAGCCTTGTCGTTCTGGCACGTACGGCTGACCGACACCAGCCGATCTATCTAATGGCCTTCGGCCCATCCCGCCATCGTGCCTGGGTTGTGGGTACGAAGCCTATTGGATATTCGCTGGGATCTCGTGGTAGGCCTCTCGGGGGCCTCTTGGGAGGCAGTTTGGACGCCTCCTGGGGGCTTTTTTGGGGCCTCCTGGGGCCTCTTTTTGGCCTCCCGGGGCCTCTTCGGGGGGCCCCCGGTGGGGCCTCCCGGGCGCATCTTGGGGCCTCCTGGGGGACGTTCGCGGAGGCAACGCCCCCCACCATCCCGCTGCCGCGCACTCCCCTGTGCTGGCCGGGGTCGTGGGGGCCCTCTCCTCCCCCCTAATTCGGTGCAGGTGGCCTGTCCTGGGCACGGCGCCTCGGCGTTATGGACGCTCGGTCAGCGCGCGCCGGACAAAAAGGCATACGACTATGGTGTGGCCCCTTGCCAGCCCTGTTGTTCTGGCACGTGCGACTGACCGACACCAGCCGATCTGTTGTGAAGAGTTTGTTTCGCCTGTCAGAGGTTGAAAACATTACCCGTCGGTCGTTGAAAGTAAGTTTTTTGGCCTGTCGGATCCCAATCTACTTGAGTCGCCTTCCTACTTCAATGATCGAGTGCTTTCACCTTTTCCTTCCTGAGGGGGCGGGCGGAAGCCCAATCTACTTCCAACGCTGTCCTCCTTCATGTTACTACCCACTTCCTCCGACAGACAAGTATGTTAACGTGATGATTTTTGAAGCGCGAGGAGTTCGACTAGACGTGAGAATTACCTTTCGCCAGAGTGATTGTTGTTGCGGACCCAATGGGTCCCCCTATCGCCGAGCGCGATGCGACAGTAATTCGCGTCTTGCGCGCTTGCGTTTGGTTCCTCCCGCGGTCCCCCAAAGAAGCCGAGCACCAAAAAGGTCACTCGTACCCAGGGGCCACTCTTGCGTGTAGTCGAGACATGCCCCGTGGCGAGGAAAGGGGAGGAGGGCAGACATCGGCGGCGAGCGAGGGGGGGAAGTGAAAAGGAGGAGGCCTTCTCAGAAGGTTCGGAAGTCCCCTGGCCTTGTGAGAAGTTTTCTAAGCCATCCCCGAAGACAGAAAACAACTTCTCGGAAGGCGCGAGGGCTTCTGAGAAGTCCCGCCGCCCTCAGAGAAGGCCTTCTCCTTCTCGTTTCCCCCCTTGCTCTCCGCCGATTCAGAAAGGGGAGTGGGGAGGGAGGAGACGCAGCCGTCAACGCCACAGCAGGGGACCCTTTCTGAAAGCCCCGCAACCGATCCGAGGCCCTCCCCCCCATTGCATTGCAATCGCGCGACGCGCGCCAACAGTTCCAGGACCTCACCTGCGCCCGGAGGGGGGGAAAGCGTGCCTCCCCCCCTTCCTGGTATGGGACAACAAAAGCGCCACGGGAAGAAAAAAAACGCGGAAGGGGAAACTAACACAGCGGAGACCCCCCAGGGGGGAACAAAACAAGCGCCAGGGGGGGAAAAAAAACAAAAACGTTCATCCGGGCGGCCTGACCACCGACGCCGAGCTGGGCGCGTCGCGGCGGAGGCTGCAAGAATATCGCGGCGCGCCCAGGGCCAGACCTCCGACGCCCGGAGTTTTGCCGGGCGCCTCGCTGCGCCCCCGAGCGGCCGCATCGCGGACAAGCAACGCCCCGTCACAGCCTCTCTGCGACTCTGCGACAGGTGCTTCTCCACCTCCTCCTCCTCCTCCTCCTCCTCCTGCATACTGCATGCTGCATACTGCATACTGACAGCACGAGAACCCTCTGGATGCTACCAACGTCCCCCTCCTCCTCCTCCTCCTTCTCCTCCTGCTCTTGTCGTTCTCTGCACTGCAGCGTCGTCGCCTTTCACGCGCCCGCCCGCGAGGGTGGCCAGGCGCGGCCATAAGTGGCTTTTTCCCTTCGGCCTGGGTCCAGGGCTGCGGCTCGCAGGCCGGAGATGCGAGAGGATGCCGATCGGTAGATTTTTCAAGCAAGGGTTCGTGGCCTCGGGAGGTGGTGGGGCGATGCCAATAGGCACAGTGGGGAGTTGTTTCCGCGTCTGCGCCTTGCACATATGCTTGAGAACCCATCGCTCGGGGAGGAGTTTGGGAGCGCACCAGCTGTCTTCGAGCAGGTGTTGGTGGTTCTCTCAGGATCCGATCGGTTCTTCAGCCCGAGTACGGGAATCTTGAGACGGGGGTCAGCCAAAGCGTCGGATCTCGAAGGATCCTGCAGAGCCAGGGGTGTATTGACCCGGGCTTGCGTGCAGGATCCTGCAGGATCCTGCCAAGCTTGCTGACCTGGGTCTGCATGGACCGTGGGCAGCAACGCAGCCCGATGAGCCGTTTCCTGACGGTCCCGAGGCCCGGCGGGGGCCGCCAGAGGCAGAGAATAGCAAACGACCTCCTGCCCTGCTTTCGAAGAAGCAGACCCGGCATAAACATAAACTTTCGGAGCTCCGCGCAGATTTCTTGGAGCTGCGCCGGGGCCGAATTGCGGCGCCTCTGGCGCCGCCCCTGGCGCGTCCCGCGCTCCAGGGAGGAGGGTCCAACGCAGACCCAAGAAGTCCGCGCGGAGCGCCAGCAGTTTATGCTCCTGCCGTTTTCTCTTCTTCTGTGAGTGTTTCACGACGCGAGGGGGTCTGGGGAGGGGGACCGTACATGGACATTACGTTCGAACCTGGTGGCCCAATATGCCCCCCAGGCTTCCCGAAATGGACACTGATGGCGTGACGACGGGGGGGGGACGTGAGTGGACAGCACTGTTCGAACCGCAGAGCGCCGCCTCTACTGAGATCAACGCTGCTGTCTGGGGGCGTGGGGGTGATTTAGAATCTCCCTCGAATCTGTAAGAGTGCGAATCTAGTCTTATGTCGGGCGTGTCCCCCTACAGGGGGATTTTCGACGAAAAATAAAAAATCCCCCCAAAGTACCCCCAAAAGGCAACAACATAATCAAACATTATCCCAGTGCGACCCTACCTAGGAGTTGGAGCCTCTAGGAAAGCAACATTAGCAGCAGCAATAGTGGATGCTGTGCTGCGCTATGCTATGCTATGCTATGCTATGCTGCGCTATGCTGCGTTATGCTATGCTATGCTATGCTAGGGTACGCTCGGCTGCGCTGTGTTATGCTAGGCTGTGCTATGCTATGCTATGATGCGCTATGCTATGCTATGCTATGCTATGCTATGCTATGCTCTTATATGCTGCGCTATACTATGCTATGCTGCGCTATGCTATGCTAGGCTATGCTATGCTGCGCTATGCTGCGCTATGCTATGCTATACTATGTTATGCTATGCTATACTGCGCTATGATATGCTATGGTATGATATGATATGCTATGCTATTATGCGCTATGGTATGCTATGCTGCGCTGTGCTGTGCTAAGCAATGCTATGCTATGCTATGCTATGTTGAGCTATGCTGAGCTATGCTATGCTATGCTATGTTATGCTTGGCTATGCTATGCTATGCTATGCTGTGCTATGCTGTGCTTATGCTGCGCTGCGCTATGCTGCGCTGCGCTAAGCTAAGCTAAGCCAAGGTAAGCTAAGCTGAACTAAGCTAAGCTAGGCTGGGCTAGGCTAAGCTAAGCTAAGCTAAGCCAAGGTAGGCTAAGATAAGCTAAGCCAAGCTAAACTAAGCTTAGCTAAGCCAAGCTAGGCTAGGCTAGGCAAAGCTAAGCTAAGCTCAGCTAAGCCAAGCTACGCTAAGAGGAGATAAGCTAAGCTAAGCTAAGCTAAGCTTAGCTTAGCTAAGCTAAGCTGGGTGAACCCAGGGGGCGCAACTGGGGGAACCGCGGGGCGTATGCTGGGGGAACCGCCCGGGGCGTTTTCCACTGCCCGGCCCCTTTCAGCCAACAGAGTAAGAACCCTTCTAGGCAGAGCCTAGGTAGGGAAGTAGTCCCCCGACTACTTTTGGACCATTTTCTGACCATTTCTGTTTCTTTTTTTTGTTCGTCGAAAATCTCCCTGTAGGGGGACAGGCCCGACTTAAATCGAGTGTCCATCCACTGGAGCGGCGGGGGGGGCGCACGTGGGGGGGGGCGCACGGGGGGCGCACTGTTCGAACCGCAAAGCACCGCCTCTGCTGAGATCAAGACTGATGTCGGGGGCGTGGGGGTGATCTAGAATCTCCCTCGAATTTGTTAGGGTCCAAATCTGCAGTCCATCTGCTGGAGGGGGGGGGGGCCAGCACACGGGGGGGGGGGGGGACCGCCGCGCGCGCGGCGACGCACCTCTGGAGCTCCTGGGCAGGCCTCGCAGGCAGGAGAGGGGGGGGGCGCGCGCCGCGCGCGCTCCGGCCCCGGCGTCAGCGCACCCCCGTCCTGGTCTTGAGTCGGGCATGTCCCTCCTCGGGAGGAGCATTCTAAATTAAAGCAGTCTAAAGACAGTCGTGGAACAGTTTTTTTTTTTTTTTTTTTTCTTTTGTTTCTCCCCTTGTTTATACAACATAAAAACATGTTTGAGTATTTGTTGATTATCTTTGATACTCATCCTGATTCAGTCGCCAGTAGGAGGACATGCCCGACCTCATCCTCGTCTGCGATCCTTTCTGCTGCTCTGCAGACGATGCGCCCATGCGGGCAAGATGTGTATCCATATCCACTGCGTCCTGGATTTTCTGGTAGGGGGCGCCACGGGGCAGCGGTGCGGTGGAGAGCGAATCTAGCCTCTGGGGGCCTGTCCACATCCATTGCGCCTCGGTTTTCTGGGGATGGGAGCCCGAAGCTCCAGGGTGCAGTTGATATGGATAGACATCTTTCCCGCAGTCCAGGCTGCGTCAGCCAGTAGTTCTGTGTCACACCTCGGTCCACGCCGAGGGCTGGAAGCAGCCTCTCGGACAGCAAGCGTTGGACGCACTGGTTTGCGCATTGCAAGCATGCATTTATCCGTAAGGGCTTCGCCCCCTGCCGCCGGCCCCCTCTCTATCATAACGGGATATATCAGAGTCGCGTGAGTGCGTCTCGTCGCTGCCTTGGCGCATCTGGGAACACCATGCGGTGGCGGATAGGAATCATCAGCGCATATTGAGACGTTGGCGGTATCGAAGACGCCTACGGCGAATCACCGCCGCCCCCTGCTTTTTCGGAAGCGCCTATGTGGCCGAAAGTTGGGTTTCCGCTTGGCCAAGTTATCGGGCCACGCGTTCCCCGAGTGGGTTTCGAAAGCCTTCGGGGAACACGGAGTCGGGCGAGCTATCGGACCAGGTGGTTTCCGAACTTTCGGGCCTCCTGGAGGACGTCTTGGAGGGGTCTTGGGCCGTCTTGGAGGCCTCTGGCTGGCCTTTTGGGCAGTCTAAGGCCATCTTCAGGCCATCAGGGGCCGTCTTGGGTGCATCTTGGGGCCATCTTCGCCGTCTTGGAGGCCTTCTTGGCCGTCTTGGAGGCATCTTGGAGGCCATCTTGGCCGTCTTGGAGGCCATCTTTGGCGTCTTGGGGGCCTTTTGGGCCGTCTTGGGGTCTTGTTGGGGCCCTCTTGGGGGCCTCTTGGCATGTCATGGGGTCATCTTGGAGGCCTCTTGGGCGCTCTTGGGGCGATGTTGGGGCCCTCTTGGGCCGTCTTGGGCCGTCGGAGAGCTGAAAACAACAAAAATTTAGAATCTTTCAAAGACCGAATGAACATCAATGATTTTGGCCTCTTCAGGCCTTCCTGGTGAAGCTCTTGGAGGCCTCTTGGGGCCCTCTTGGGCAGTTTTAGGCCATCTTGGAGCCATCTTGGGCCGTCTTGGAGGCATCTTGGACTCTCTTGAGCAGTTTTGGGGACATCTTGGACCGTCTTGGGCGGATTTGGAGGCCATCTTGGGCCATCTTGGAGGCCATCTTGGGCCAACTTGGCCATCTTGGAAGCCATGTTGGAGCCATCTGGAGCAGGAACAACTTATGGAACCACCCTTTCCGGGCCATTCCGGGACCCTGGCGGGCGGGGCCGAAACCCCAGGGGGATTTTTTCCTGGGAAAAAGAACCAGAACCAAAAGCGAAAGGATGCAGCACGCCGGGCACCCTTGTGATGAATCAACAGGGGGCGGCGGATCGAAGACGCCTACGGCGAATCACCGCCGCCCCCTGCCTTTTTGGACGCGCCTATGTGGCCGAACGTTGAGGCCAGACCTGCCAAGCTATCGGAGCATGTGTTCCTCGAATCGGTTTGGAAAGCCTTCGGGGAACACGTGGGCATCTTGAAGGTCATCTTGGCCGTCTGGAGGCCATTTTGACCCTTTCGGGCCTTCTTGGAGGACGTCTTGGAGGGCTCTTGGGCCGTCTTGGAGGCCATCTTGAGCGTCTGGGAGACCTCTTGGGCCGTCTTGGGGCCCTCTTGGGGCCGTCTTGGGCCTCTTGGGCGATCTTTGGGGGCACTTGGGCCGTCTCGGGCCGTCGAAAAAAAGCAAATGTCAACATTGAGGGCCTCCAGGAAGGCCAGAAGAGGCGAAAAACATTGATTTTCCGTAGGTATTTGACGGATTTTGGCATTTCCTTCTTTTCGGCCTTCCGACGGCCCGAGACGGCCCAAGAGCCCCCAAAGATCGCCGAAAGGTCGCCCAAGAGGCCTCCAAGACGGCCACGATGACCTTCAAGACGCCCACGTGTTCCCCGAAGGCTTTCCAAACCGATTCGGGGAACACATGGTCCAATGGCTTGGCAGGTCTGGCCTCAACGTTCGGCCACATAGGCGCTTCCACAAAGGCAGGGGGCGGCGGTGATTCGCCGTAGGCGTCTTAGATCCGCTGCCCCCTTTGGATTCAACAAAGGGGTGCCTGG